CGCCCCACAAATTGGGCTCTTACTTGAAAGCTTAGCCCTGAAAATACGAGAGCCTCCGACGGAGATCCACCCGCAAAAACAACTACTGACTTTTAGGTCCGTTACCTCTAAGTTAGCGAGGTCCGACCAAAACAAGAGTATTATATGAGTTTAAGAGTTTTTTCAAATGCAATGCTCTATTGAACTCCTACTCAAGCACTCTTCCCAAAAACCCAAGGTGGGTATTTATAAGGAAGAGTGAGAGTGGGAATTTCTATCCTATCAATGTGGGATCATAAAATTCCACAATTTATTTTAAAGTTAAAATAAAATAAATAGGAAAACTAATAATAAATCTACAAGTGTCATTAATACATGCAAAGGGAAGTGAGGACCACTTGGAGAGGGGGGGACCAAACTTGCTCCCCACTCCTTTCTCTCCTTGTGCCACATGTCCCTCACACTTAAAGCCTCCCTTCACATGCTTCCCCTTAGCCCATAGCCCAGCTACCCGCACCAAGGTGATGCGGGCTGCTGCTACTCGCAGCTAGCAAGCCTCGCACGCTTGTGTGGGCTGCTGCTGCTTGCGGCCAGCAAGCCACACACACCTTGTGCGGGCTGCTGCTGCTTGCTGCCGTGGCTGTCCTTGGCTACTAGAATTGGTGCGCTAGCATGCACTAGCCAGCCTAGGCTCGACTTGGTGCGCATGCTAGCCACCATGCCACGCGTTATGCCCCTAGCACTCGGATGCTCGGGGCATTCCGATGCTAGGGGTATTTTGGGAAATATTGTCGATTTATTATTATTTGCGCGTCTTGTCTTTTTACTATTTTTTACTCGACTTCCGACGCTCTAAGCTCGAATTTCCGACGTCTAAATATTTAATACTCGGGCGACTCATTAATTTCTTCCGAATTAATTCGTTGAGCCGGTTTGTTAATTGCTTGTGTGTGACCCGAAGGGTTCAGTCAAGATTAAGCTGTAATATTAATTATACATTAATATTAGTATATTACTGATCGGAAGCGGCTTCCACCTAGGCATTCCAATCACTTGACCTTACAGAATATATTAGCTTTCTAATAATTTTGAACCCACTATCAGAATAATACACTTGTTCGAAGGACACCATTCCTTTTAACTAAATCTAAATAAACTCTACTAAAGTTTCTAAGAATATTGTACGGTTACAAGACTTACAATATCTAGCACACCTATTAACTATTACTAAAACATAAGATGATGACGTCACCACTATCCACATGTCACTCTCTTAATAAAAAATTTCCCGCCTAAATACAATGATGATGTCATCTTCTTTTTTTTGTTTTTGTTTTTTATTTTTATAGAGCTATGCTATTTAAAATTTTTGAAATTTAAATATTAGAAAAACTTCTACCTTACAAATTGAAACAATTTTAAAAAAAAAAAACCCTAGCCTCTCTTTCCTCTCTTCTCTCTCTAAAACCCTAGTCTCCATTGTTGAATTTTGGAGGGGCTTCCATCGATTTTTATCTATGGAAAGCCCCAATTGTTTGTTTTTGTGTGCTTTTTCTATTGTTTTAGGTTTATAATAATTCTTCCTCTTCTAGGAGGAATATTTCTCCCTCGAAAGAAAGGGTTTTTCTTCTTCTTTAGGAAGATTTGGCTCCTTTGAAAGATCGAGTTTTTCTTCTCTCTTTAGAGGGAGGATTTGCTTTTTTATTTTATGGATTGCTATAGAGTTGTTTCATGGGTAAAATTTTGTGCGAGATCGAAAAAGAGGTTAATATTTTGATTACAATCTAGCGAATCAGACAGGAATTTTCTGCACTGCTACAACAGATCGATAGCCCCCTCGCCAATGAAGGCTGTAAATCACAGCAATATGGAAAGAGGGTATGGAGAATGTACGATTTGGAACAACGATCCTAACTTTGCTTACGAAATGTTTTTATTTGATTCAATTATTATGTATTCATTAGATCTGAATCTCTTTGTAGATGTGGTATGACTTTATTTATGAATCAATTTTATTTCAAAAAAAATTAAAACAATTTTTAATAGCACACTAATAAATGGCCTCCTACATTGAACTATGAATTAGACAACGTCGAACAGATACTATATCATGATTTTGATGAAAATAAAAGATTTTAAATTACAAAATGTAGGTAATTCTTATTTATATTTATGTACAATAACGATTTATTATTAAAATATACAGAAATAATTATAATAAAATACCATGCAAATTCATTAGGGACAATTGTAAAAACTATTTTTAAAGACTAGCCATAGCGCGCATCGTGCGCGCTAGAATTTCCAGTAAATTTAAATGTTAAAAAACTTAACCAATTACAATGTGATACGTGTTTAGTTTGACATTTGAAACAATTATTTTTATTCTATTTTGAACATAAGTCTATGAAAGGTCACTCTTTTTATTTGGAATTAGAATACCGTATTATTTATGAAAAATTGGCCAAAGGTTGTATTATTTTAACAATTTTTCCTAATATAAATATTATGATTACATAATCCAAACTTCCTACCAATACAATGCTTGTACACTCATTATTAACTAGAACTATGAAATTAGATGATTCACTTAATAGAGAGAGTGAGTTGTAAATTTTAGTTGAAGGTGTTTCTCTTGATTTAGTTCGGTTGTGGTAGAGAATTGGCCGGGTCAACCTCTATTATGATGTTATTCCATAGAGTTTAGTAGGTGAAATGGTGAATGGTAGCATAACATATTAGTTAAATAATGAGTCAGAAAATTGCATGTAATGTTATTCCATAGTAAAATGGTAGTTATGGTACTAGTAGACGGTAATCAGGTGATGTCTTAAGTTATAATGGATTCCATCTTCTTGTGACAGTTTATGGGCCTGTTCTCATTGACTAAATTCAGCTGAACTGAACTGAACTTAGCTGAACTGAACTAAACTGAACTGAACTGAACTGAGCTGAGCTTAACTGAACTGAATTGAACTGAACTGAACTGAACTGAGCTGAGCTTAACTGAAATGAATTGAACTGAACTGAATATTTTATAAGAGAAGGAAATTAGGAGCTGAAATGAACTGAATTTCAACATATGATAACAGGCCCTATGTTTTGATCATTATCGAGTCAGGTGAAACCCATTGTCATTTACATCGTATTATCAAGTTTGGTATAAATTCGTGTTTAGGTTTTAAATTATCACGTCAACTTAGGCCCTGTTCTCATCAGATTATTTTCACTTCAGTTCAGTTCAGTTCAACTCAAATAAGTTCAGTTCAGTTCAATTCAACTCAAATAAGTTCAGTTCAGTTCAACTTTAATAAGGGCTTGTTCACATTTACTGAACTGAACTGAACTGAGCTGAGCAGAAATGAACTGAACTGAACTAAGCTGAAATGAATATTTTAAGAGAGAGGAAATTAGGAGCTGAACTGAACTGAACTGATTGTAGCTGAACTGTACTGAACTGATTGGAGCTGAACTGAACTGAAATGAAATTAAGTAAATGTGAACAGGCTCTAAGAGCATTGCCACTAATGGGCATTTTTTTGGTTGCCCAATCTCTCTCTAACCACTTTCTCACTCCTCCTCCCCATGGGCATTTTCTTGGTCATTTTTATTCTACACCAATGGTAAAAAATTATAATCCCCACCATTCTCTCTCCTATTTTTAACCCTATACCCCACCAATATTTATCTCTCCTACACATCATTAAATTTGTAATTTAGTATTTCTTAATTTTATTGTTAACAAAATTTTGTATTGATTAAATTATTTATGAGTAGTACAATATTAATTATTTTTAATATTAATTTTTGCAAAATGTATTTTTTAATAAAATAATAATATTTATTCTTAACTAAATTTTTTTATTGATTAAATTATTTATGAGTACAATATTAATTATTTGTGTCATTATTTTATGCGAAATTTCATTTTTCATTAGTACAACATTAACGATTACAACATTGGAACATAATGATCGTACACCAATCATATAAACCAAATAAATTAACGATTACAAAACTATTTATTCATTACGACCGTATTTTTGCCAAATATGCTCAACTAAATCATCTTTCAAAGAAAAATGGGTTTGGCTATCACGCAGGGTAATTCTTCTTTGAATATACGTGTCAAAATCAACGTTTGGTGGTCGGCCAACGTCAAATTCGAAAGGCTCGTTGTTATTCACTGTGGCACTTGTACTCGGACCGGACCTTGTTGTATGAAGCTGAGGGCGATCTTCATCATAATACCTTCTCAAAACTTCGGCATGAGTGTAATTGTGTCGTTCATCCTCGACAATCATGTTGTGCATAATGATACAAGCTTTCATTATGTCGCTCAAAATGTCTTCGTCGAAAGCAAGTGAGGATTGTCGTAATATGGCAAACCTAGCCTGTAGAACTCCAAACGCACGTTCAACGTCTTTCCGAGCTGCAGCTTGTTTATCTGCAAATAACTTGTCCTTCTGGAGTTGAGGATATGTGATACCTTGTATAAATGTTGCCCAATTCGGATATATACCATATGTTAAGTAGTATCCCATGTTGTACTCATGGCCGTTTGCCATAAAACTAATTGGTGGTGCCCGACCTTTCAAAACATCGTCAAACACTGGAGAGCGGTATAGGACGTTAAGATCATTACAAGAGCCGGGTATTCCAAAAAATGCATGCCAAATCCATAAATCTTGATCCGCAACAGCTTCGAGGATAAGGGTTGCATTCTTGCTACGACCTGCGTATTGTGCTTTCCAAGCCATAGGACAGTTCTTCCACTCCCAGTGCATGCAGTCGATGCTACCGATCATGCCCGGGAATCCACGCATTTCATTTTGGTGAAGGATTCTCCTTAAATCTTCATCTGTTGGACTTCTTAAGTACTCGGCCTCAAAATGCTTGATCACCCCTTGAGTAAAATGTTGCATTGATTTTCTAGATGTTGTTTGACCCATGCGTATGTATTCATCTACGGCATCCGGAGCAACACCGTATGCTAACATTCTTATTGCAGCGGTGCATTTCTACAGAGGTGATAAGCCAAGCCTACCAGCTGCATTCCTACGCTGCTGGAAGAACGGATCACCCTCAACCACTTTATTCATAATCCGACAGAATAAAGGTTTGTGCATTCGAAATCGACGACGAAACTGATTTTCGGAATACACAGGATTTATTGCGAAGTAATCATTGTACAATTGCAAATGCCCTTTCTCCCTTTCTCTATCTCCCCTATGCTGCGGGACTGTATCATTTTCATTTACAATTTTGATCTCGGATGGAGGTGGTTGAGGAAGCATTACGTTAGGTAAGTGATTTGTGAGAAATTCGTCAACTAGATTATCAAATTCCGCATATTGATCTGAATCAGAAGAATTTGAGCTTGAGGTTGAGCTTATGGAAAACATTTTCTGTGTTTGGTTTTTGAATGTTTTGGTGTTGTGGATCAATTTATGGATTTCACACCTTTAAATAGGAAATGTTATCAATGCATGTCCTTCAACTGAGTGTGAACTGACTACTCAATGTATAGTAAAAACAAAATACATGACCACTCAATTCTTAATAATCAATACCAATGCTTGTCATACGGTTGAAGTTATGTATGAAATGACTACTCAATGCTTGTATAAAACAAAAACTACAATTGGACTTGACTACTTTTTGGGATTTGACAGTTCAATGGTTGATAAAACCAACCACTTGACTCATAATTGTATAAGACAAAATCTACACACACTAGCTAGTACTTCACTCATAATTGAACAAAATATATGAAAATGTAATATAATTTGATTAATTTTTGGAACATAATTAATAATAAAAATTAATTCATTGCTACATAAAATAAACAAAATACTTGAAATCATAATGCATAATAAACTACTCTACTTTCCACCATACACTTCTTGAATTAGTTCCTCCTTCCACGCTTCTTCAGTTGGTGTAAGTGGCGTCGTTTTTGACATAATTGCTTGCAACATATCAAATTTCATATTCTTCTCTTGTAATTCGACCTGTTTGTTTTTCCTCTTTTCCTTTTCCCTTTCAAGCTCCAACCTTTGCTGCCGTAAATTTGCCTCAAAGCTTCTAACTTCAGTACAAGCCTGTATCTGTTCACCAATACTTAAAATTGCACTATCATGAGCAATAGCTTTTCCCTTACGCTTAGCCTTTGCTTTTTTTACCCCGTCGGGTCTGGGTATACCTCTTGAAGAAAACCCACCAACGGGAACATCTCCTTCAGCTTCACTGTCAGTTCTCGATCTCTTTCCACTTCCACTGCTATCCTCGGTGTCCCCTTCCAGACGCAGTTGACAATCCTGTCGTTCCTTTAGTGACAATGCCCATCTGAGTTTCGGCCTCCACTTTGGGTCATTCTTTATCATTTCCCAAGCGTGGGGAAAAACAAAATTGTGTGGTGGTTTGGCTGATATATGGAACAACTTCGAGGCCTTTTGAATTCGATCAACTTCGTTGAATCCACTTCCAGTTAACGGACCCGCTTCATCATAACAACTTGTCCATAACAGTACATCTGCCGCCATCCTTCTCCAACGGTTCTCCAAACTCTTCGCATTTCTGGGTGGTAGTATTTCTGGCTTCTTAGCTTGAACCATGTCGTATGCCGCAGATATTTGTCGCCAAAGTTCAGCTGCTTTCATGCCCTTACCCACTATCGCATTTCCACTGTATTTTAAATATAGCCCAATAAGAGCTTCATCTTCTAGGACTGACCAAATACGACTAGCTTTAGCGAGTTGTTGGTTGGAACCCACCCGCATTCTTTGAGTCGACGGAGGGTATTGAGGTGTCTCAGGCACATTTTCTTCTTGGCTATCATCGTACTGAGAGTTACTTCCTTGGTAGACAGGAGGTGATTGCTCGTAATCAGTGTTTTCAGTTGGAATTTGTGGAGGTATTTCAAGTTGTGGAGGTATTTGTTGTTGTGGAGGATTTTGCAGAGAGGTGTTGCTCAATATTTGTAGGAAAAGTTGAAATTGAGGTTGATTCATGAAATTCTCATCTAAATCATTACAATTTTGAGAAAGTATTGAGTAAAGGGGGTTATTGGGATCCATATCTATTTTTTTTGATTAATTTCAAAAACTAACACAATAATAACAATAATAATAATAATAATAACTATTATAAAAATAATAATAATAATATTAATAACAAAAATAATAACGAACAACAATAATAATATTAATAAGCTAAAATAATAACAATAATAATTATACTTCCAATAATAATAATAATAATATTTATTTTAATAATAATTATAATAATAATAATAATAATAATAATAATAATAATAATAATAATAATATTAATACTAATATTAAAAGGATGACTAATTACGAGGGAGAAATTGAGAGAAAATGTAAATACAACAAATTTATGTGAATTTTGGAAATATGAAAATATAGGCAAAATGGGTCTCTATTTGTAGAGAATTTTTTTTTTCTAGCCGTTGGTAAATTTTTTTTTAAAATTTTATAAGCACAAAATACCCGTTACAAAATTGTTACCGTTGCAATAATCAGGAATTTCCTGATTGGTCCAACTCACCTGACAGGACGCGTGTCAGCATCTGATTGGCCGTGCTGACGCGCCTGTCAGGGCTGCACATATAATTTTTTTTTGCTTTTCCTACCCTCAAAACGCAGTGTTTTGAGGTGAAGCAAAGCAGACGCTTCCTCAAAACGCTGCGTTTTGAGGTAAGCTTAGCAAAAAAAAATTAAAATGCAGCTATGCACGTGGGGCCCAGTTCTTCTTGGTCAGTTTTTTTAATTTTGCCCAAACTTTGATCAAAAATTGATTTGCCCATGGGCATTTTTAATTTAGACCATTGATGGGGAGTTATTTTTTTTTATTAAACCCCAAAAACTACCCATGGGCATTTTTCTCCCCATTGATGGCAATGCTCTAAGTTCAGTTCAGTCAATGAGAATATGCCCTTAATTATCGATTAATATCAGATCGAGTTTAATACGATTATTAGTCACTAGTTTCATCCATTCTTCCAGCAATAATTATCCCGGGGTCATTACCAACTGGGATTGATTTTTGGGTAATTTCCACTGTATTTTTTTTTAGTACTCGTAATTACAAAGCTAAAAATGAGTGTCAGAAAATTAAATAAATGTATAACTTTTGAAAAAAAATTGCTAGGAAGAGGTTTATCTGATCAATGTAAAAGTTCCTCGTAAACCACGTGCTAAAATACACTACTATGACATTCTATTCTCACTTACCCCTACTCCCTTAATTTATTTATTACTCCAAGAATATCTCTAATCTTAACAAATTAAATAACATTAAAAATAATTTGGGAAGAAAAAATAAAAACCATCTTTGAATATTTAAAATTATTTAATCCCAGTAAGTAAGCTCAATTGATTTCGTGTGATCTTGGGTTTCCTCTGTTTTTCCTCTCTTTTTTCTCTTTCTTTTCATTGTTTAAGGCTGCAACCAAACCAAAATTCACCATTCCCACCAAAACCTTTCTTTCCTTCCCAAAAATCTCAAGTATTTCTCGGTGGGTTTTTATTTAATTTTACATTACCTTCCTTTGCTCAATACCCGAGTAGCTAAGCTTGTATGTGGTCAGACTCTTTTACAATCCGAAAGTAGCTTGTGAGCTTGTACGTGGTCAGACTCTTTTTGAACCCAGGTTGATTGTTTAAAAGGAATAAGGAGGAAATCAGAATGATTTTTGTTTGATCATTGAAAGGTCGATTTCTTTTCGGGGTACTTAAAAAAGTAGCAACCTTTAAACTTATAAATTAACACCCAAAAATAAAATCAAAAAAAACTGTGCTTGTTCACGCTTTGATAGGCGTGCTTAAATCGATGAAATTTGGCAGGCCCCTCAAAAAAATTCTTCCTTTTTTTAATTTTTTAATTTTTTTTTTTTTTTTTTTTTTGTAATTTTACACTATTTTTTCAACCAAATGGATTACTTTCATAATCGTGGCCCACTAAGATTACAGTAGTAATAGTAGTCCCTTTTTGCAGGTTTTGTTCCTTAGAATTTTTTCTTGTATTTTTCCTTCATCTTTTTGTTTTTCTCTCAGATAATTTTACTACTAGATTCTCTAAAGAATTTTTTCTCTGAACTTTTGGAATATTATTTAACCAACTTTAATTATAATTATTTCTGATCAAAAATTGAAAGATGAGGTTTTTTGGGGAAATGGGTACTTCATATTTTTGCTGGGTTTTTTTGGGTGCTCATTTTAATTTTCTGGGGTTGTAAAATGGTGCTGTTTTGAGGTTGAAGAGAGAGAAAGTAGAGAGAGAAAAATCACAATTAAGTTTAGATTTTAATGGCTTCTTCTACTACCGTTGAAGACAAAGTTAAAACAGTAGGAGGAGGAAGTTGTGGGCCACCATTACCATCAAATTTACTTGAAGAAATGAAGTTATTCAAAGAAATGCAGGACAATTCTGGTAATTCATTATTATTATAGTTCAAGTTTTTCAAATTTTTTACTTAAATTTTGCTTGCATTTTTATTATTATGTAATTTAATTCACTCTTTATTTTCATTTTTTTTTTTTACTAATTGTTCTTGTATGTGAATTATGAGGGATAAAGTTTTGATGTTTGTTACAATGGTGTGGTTAAGGACTTTTGTGTTTTTTCTAAAAAGGTCATGTAAATGAAGGTTTTGTATTGGTCCTTGTCATTTGCAACATCCAGATTTGACACGTAAATGTGTACTCCTTGTGTCCGAAATTAGTTTTCATATCGTGTAATTTGATCTGGTAACATGACAATTTAATCCTTACCCGAATACGTAGTTATAAATTTTACTATTAAACTCTATAATTATTCAGAAATATTCGAAGTATAAAAAGTTGTTTAAATATCAAATTATGGGTTTATAAAGTATTATGAAAAAAGGTATTTTTTTAATTTTTTTTTGGAATGGTCATACAAATGAAAGTGTTGTATACATGTATTAGTCCTTGTCATTAACCCTATTTACATGTTGACCTCCCCAGAATTTGCAAGTATTGGTACTTCCAGGTTTGACACGTAAATGTCGTAATCTCTCAGTCCGAAATTAGTTTTCGAATTAGTTTTCTTATCATGTAATTTTATCTAGTAATGTGACAACTTAATCTCAACGGTACTTTTTCTTACACGGAGTAGTAAAAAGTAAACAATACTGTATTCACAAATACAAAGTATTAGATTTAAATAAAAAATATTTTATATCATACAATGATAAAAAAATCTTTTTACAAAATTTTAATTTTAATTTTATTTATTTTTTAAAAAGAATTGTGGTAACTGGTAAGTGTAACAAGAGTGTGTTTGGATTTATGGTTACAGGGGCCAGGAAGCCTTTACACTCAGAGCTGTGGCATGCTTGTGCTGGTCCTCTTGTATC